GCTCCATAAAAATGGTGGAGAATCTAGAGACGAGGCCCTGGGGACGCTGCAGTGGCGCATTTCTTTGTAACCCTTGGCCTTTGCTCGGCCTTGGACTGGGATGTTTTTAGCCTTGTTTTAATGTTGGAGTTTCCGCTGTCAGCGGATTGCCGCGTGAGGAATGTCGCATTCTTATGAACAGTTTGCATGCCGTTTGAATGGTCAGGAAGACCTAATCAGCGCACCCCTCCGTGCCCTATTTGAAAAGACCATTGATTACCTCACACAGAAACGTGGAAATAGAAGGAAAAAAAAACCAGCCATCAGTACTCAACCATCACTGCATTGTACTGGGAGAGAGATCTTACCAGAATATCTGTATGGGACGTAGTTTTGAAATTCTGTGTGCCGTTTAATTCAGCTCAGCCGAGTAAAGAGAACCTTGAAAACTCAACCTACAGTTTCAGTCAGGCGCACTCACAGGCTACAGTAAATGTTGGAGTGCCAAGCCCAACCAAGTTTCAAAAGGAAACGGACTTAATTCCGTTTCTGTGCAAGATGAACCATTCGCTGTGATCTGTGATATGTATGTGAGACAGCAGCGATCTGGTCAGGCCGGAGGAAAGTTCAGACAGATGAAATGACAAGTCTTTTGTACTAAATCCCATGAGCTGGTGGAGCACGGGTGTTGGGAAGGGGATGGCCTTGTGCCAGCTTTTCAGTGGGTGTATCCCTTGCCTGCTACAAAACCTCTAATCTGTTGGATCATAGGGATATTTCACTTACAGTCACCTCTCATTATTAAGAACACTGTTATAACAAAATACTGTTGTAAAGAACAAATTCTGAGAATCCCACTTTCTTGAATTCTTATGTTTTTCTTTGTTTTTCTACTCCTCTTATCACAAAGTTCAGGTTATAACAAAGTAATTTATCTGGTCCCTGCAACTTTGTTATAACGAGAGTCGACTGTAGTTAACATTGCTCTGTGATATGGCACAGTTGGTCATGAGTATTGATGTGATAGGGATCAGACAGTGCTTAGACACAGGAAACAAAGGTAACGGATCGATAATGAAGTCAAGGTACTTGACCGTACGTGGGTCTGTGGGAGGTATAATACGATGTCATCCGTGCTGGCAGCTGCTTATCAGGAAAAACCACTCTTCTCAGTCTAAGACTAGATTACATTCATATAATGCAGACCAGACAGGTTGGATTGGGGGGATGAATTCTACGAAACATTCCTGTGTCACTGCAAGTTGCAACGCGTAAAGGTATCCGCACACAAGAACTGTATCAGCAGGAGTACAGTGAAATGTCGCATATCAGTGAAGGGCGTTGCCAGTTCTGCACGCCCACTTATATCATGATTATAGACATCACAGTGTGTGTCATGTCTCCGTGTTCTAATTTTCAGATTTTGTGTATAGACAGCCTTACTTTTTTTTTTCCCCATGTCTTTCCCTTGCGCCTTACCTCTGTCACCTGCTGCGTCTTCCATTCTACTGTAATCCCCCCTCCCTTCCCTAAAGGTTCCCCCCCCCCACTACATGCACAGCTGCCTGGTGAGGTTTCCTGTGTCTTGGAGTTGGGGTAGGAAACACTTCCGAGCCAGTCATTGGCTCAATTGCCCGCTGAGCTTTGAAGTCCGGAAGTGAATGACAGACACGGTTGGGCCTGCAAGAGCCTACACGTACATCATGCCACTCGCCCTGTTTCAGTGTACGCAGTGTTGCAGAGAAATCTAAGGCCGTGTCCAAAACGGGCTTCCAGGGCTACAGCTAGGTCTATTGTCTACGGGTCTCCATGCATTTCCAATGGAGCGGAGACCTAGACCTAGCTCTAGACAAGAGATTCGGAGGCAGCCTCAGTTTGTTGAAGCTGGTACATAGCAGTTGTTTCCGTTTCAGATTTTGCACCTTTTCTTGGTGTAAAGAACCAACCTTCTTTGATTAGGTACGTGCACTTTTAATAATAGGAATGTATGAAGACAGCCAAGACATCAGTTATGAGTTTGGAATAAGTTAAGAATGTGCGTTCACGTGTAGATTGTTGCGGCCGTATTTTTGCTGAAAGAATACCAGGTGTGGAGTCCTCTTCTCAAAGCACCCTCTATTGGTCGCAACCAAATGTGATCACGTGACCATGTGCAGTCACCTACTTCTTACATGTAGCTCTGTATTCCATCAAAGTTCACCCAGACCCTTGAATTAACATCTGATTTCAACTCGGCTTTCAGTTGGAAAGGTACCAAAATTTATTCTGCTGGAGCTGAGGAGTTGTCTTGCCCTCCCTCCCTCCCTCTTGCCCAAAGCCCAGAGACAACCCCCCCCCAGGATGTCAATCTCATGAGTGCAGGCCCTGTTTCTTCAGTGTCTATCAGTGGAACTTGTTAGTTGGCCAGTTGGCGTTTCCTTCCTCGTGGCTCGGCTCGATAATCGTCCCGGCAGGGGGTGAAATATCTTTGCATGTTGAGAATTAAGAACCTGTTTGCTGCTTCTGTGACCTACATTCAACCCATTTCACCAGACTGTGATAATACACAGCAAGCATACGGATATATTGTCATGGTATCCTGAACATGTAAATGTCAAATGTCTTTAAATTTGTCTTCGCATTACCCTGCCTCTTTGTACCATTTGGGGATCACTCTTCAAACTATTTCCCTGTGAAATCCACTAAAAATTCTCGTTTGCTTTTAAATGTGAACCTTTAAAAAGTATTGACAAAATCAACAAAATGTTCTTGGTCTTCAATTATACTTCTCTAATCAAAACGTTTGTTTGTATCAAATCGTTTCCCCTTAGAAAAGACAGTTGACTTCATTTCAGTAAAGGCAGCTGGCCTCAGAAGTAGAGAGCTCAGTCAAAACTCCAAACTTCAGTGTTTCAAATGGAATCAAAGGAGAGTAAAATCCTCCTGCATTTGCTCGTAAATTTCTTCTTGGCATGGGATGAAACGATGACATCTGCATGACGCCATACACATCCTACACGCTAATCATGCAGACTACCAGAAGCCCTTGCTGTGCTCAACCGAAAAAGTCAATTTGGGCTTTAATGGGATCCAACATCCTCACTTAACGGAGCCACCTCGGAAGTCAAGGTCGGGAAGTTCGTGCCACCTCCCTCCCCCTTCCGTAAAGCATCCCTGATGGGTCATAAGATCGCAACATGTATTACCTGCTGTGATCAGTGAGGTCTATCTGTATGTTAGGCGTACTTTAAAACGTAGCTGTGATGTGATGCCTACCTGCAGTTGAATGGATGACTTCTGCTTTCCAGCCTGAGAATGTGAGATTTGGTCATCAGAGAAAGTCATGGGCATGGTTTCAGCATTCCTCAAAATAACACAATAGCTGTCAGAGGTTAGGGCCTGTTCTACCTGATTCAGGTCTGGCCGAAGTGCATTTTTTTCATATATTCCGAGGAGAATGTAGGATTGGGGGTCGATTAGTTTGATACTGTGTTGTCTTCCATCCAGTACCATACTGTGTATTCACTCCTAGCCCCTTCCAAATTTGCCAAAATCTAGCACTCGTTTTTACCAGATGTGGTGGGAATTCGTAGTCTGGTTCCTTGGCTCTTGATGCATGTCAGCCCTACAGTTAAAGCATGGGTTACATGTAGGCTGGCTATACTGCCCTCACGTACTGTTTCCCTTCCAAATTTCTGTCACTGAAGAAAGTCCCAAGTTTTCCAGGAAGTATCCCTCTGGACGCCAGCCAGCTTTGATTACCCCCATGGGGGCCCCATCCTCTGGCAAAAATATGGCCTTCCTGTTTGAAAGGTCAAGCGTGTAGAAAAAAAAGGCTTTATCACACACCGTCCTTTTCTTATAGGCGCATTAGATCAATTAACTAATATCTTGATCGGCACTGTCGCGTGAAAGGGCTTCCTCTGTCAGCATTTTCTGATGTGAGCTTGCTTCAGTTTTTTGGCATCTCCTCTCAAAACTGTTCTTTCAGAAGATTCTTTGGAAATTGTTTCCTTAACGTAAAATCCCTCTTTAGAGCCATCCCTGCTTGAAACCTTGAACTTTTTTTTTTCTTTTTGAGAGGAATCTATCGTCAAATGAAAGGGTTGGGATTTTAATTATATGCTGAGATGTGTAAGGTTTCATGTGCTCTTGATTCTTTGGTACAAGGTCTTATCTTGGTTGCCACAGTTCCGGACTTTTTCCTGTTAGTATGGTCCACTGTCATACAGAACATGTGCTAGTGATTGCAACAATGCTTTTCACACTTGGCACCAACTGTATGTTATTGCATTCATTTTGTACATTCCCCAAACCTATTTTGCACATATTCTTTAATGGCCTGTGAGTTGTACTGATGCATACGTATGTGCCAGTGTTTATGTGCATCTCTGAGACATTTTCCTTTTTGTGGCTACTGTCGCAGAGATTGATCCCTCGATCAAAACAACTCCCTAGACAACCGAGATTCCCGCAGTGTTGCACATCAATCAATTTCAGGCACGCCATCTGCCCGCCCGTCCCTCGGGTACCAGCGCCCTCAGATTGTCTTGTCAAGTGCAGCAGACAAGATACCCAAACCGAGGGATGTTTGTTTGACGTTTGCGCAGGTCGCGGTTAGTAGCCAGCCTGCTGCATCGGCCCACAACGTGGATCCACAAGACTGCCAGGAGCTGTCTCAGTCTGCCGTGGATTTTAATATCAGATTGAGCAGTGCTCTGGAATAATTTTCAGCTTCCCCCCTGCTGTCACTCGTTCTATTTTTAGGAGCGCCATTACCACTTTGTTTCCTCCACCCTGCTTGAATCTGCATTAAAATGTTCAGCTCGCTGTCGTGACTCAGTGACTGGCTCTTTGTCTACCTCTTGGTGGCAGCACGGTATATCTGCAGTGGCAGAAAACAAGTCTTTCTGTGAAACCAACGTTAAGAATAGAATGGTTTTTAAGGCAACACTTCTTTTGACAACAGACACTTTAGTTTTGGTAGGGGTTGGGCACAAGAAGTTGAGATTTGTATAACAAAAGTTTTTTTTAAATTTCAGATCTGGTCGATGAAGCAGGAATGCTGTGTACATGACTTACAAGCCCATAATAAAGAAATCTACACCATCAAATGGAGTCCACACAACCCCAACACACCACTCATGCTAGCCAGGTGAGTTAGCTCTAACGCTCAAATTACTCACTCCAAACATCAGGACCGGTTTAACCTAAGAGTAGTGTTACAGTCAACTCTCGTCTTAACGAGGTTATTGAGACCAGACAAATTTAACCAGGACTTTGTTATAAAAGGAGTAAATAAAGAAAACACAAGAATTCAAGAAATTGGAAGACTAAGAATTCTTTGTTTCTGAGTGAAGGGATCTTCCTAGCATGCTGTTGCCCCTTCCATTTACCAATACTTTTTGGTAGAGCTCTTTGATTTTTTGTCCGTCCCCGCAGTGCGTCGTTTGACTCGACAGTGCGGCTGTGGGACGTGGACAGGGGCATCTGCATACACACGCTCACCAAGCACCAAGAGCCGGTCTACAGTGTCGCCTTCAGCCCCGACGGCAAGTACCTTGCCAGCGGGTCCTTTGATAAATGCGTCCACATATGGTCCACTCAGGTAAGCCAGGACACCCGTCGTTTCCCCAAGACATGCTGTCAAACTGTTGTCTTAACTGATATCCAAAGAAGTAGATATACCTGCTTGATGCCTGTTTGTTTTTAAGTTTCCAGAGGTCCAGAAAGCAGTCATAATGTACTGGTATCCAAGTGAATCTAGTATGCTTTAAAGTAGCATAATTCTGGGATACACATGGCTGTGTTAACATCCACCTAGGATTTTTCCCCTCGGTCTCGGAGGTGTTTGTAAATCAAACTTTACACATTGACCAAATTAACCCTAACTCCCCAAGGGTTGCTGGCCCTAACCTTCCCCCTGCACACAAAGTTTTGTGCACAGAGGCTGTTGGACTTTGTCTTTCTGAGGTATGCCAAACCCAATGCAAAAGCCAGC